CCAGTACTTGGGGAGAGTGGCTTACTGTTTTTCTTATCTGTGGATTTTTACAGTCTTTGCATAGGAATATTCAGTGGAGAAATAGCCAAATAACAGAGCAAAGATAATGGAGATCTGCAGAAAGAATGAACAGCTGAACATTTTTAAATGCTGTGAAATGTATAACATTAAGAGCTCGTGGTAAACTCCCGAGTGTGTGCCAAGGTCAGCATCGGCAATAATTTCACACGCTCGTAAAAGGCGTGTGTGACGAAAGTATAGGGCCCGAGAAATGCAGAGAATCCAGTTTACAATTGATAGCCGCACATCGTAAGCTTTGAAAAGTTCGCCATCGCTGGTTATCACTTGTGAGAGAATTTAAATGCATCTCATGTTTGCACAGCATCTCTTGCATGCATCGAGTTCTGCATGCAGTTTAATCGCGTGAGTTACGCAGACAGAGTTTATGAAAATAATGTTTTCTGCAGCTTTATTCGCACGAGTACTGACGGTATTCAGTGTGTTTCATTTAACATCAAATAACGAGCTAACAGTATAGCTGCATACACCATGCTACAGTGTTCTAGATGGTTACCTACACGCACATGTAGGCCAACGGCCTACGCACCTAGCTCCACGCTAGTTTTCTTTCTTTATTTTTAGTGCCTTAGCAACATCAGCATCACCGTTTACACTGCCGAAATTCGTGTGCATCTCCGTCCAGTGCATGAAATAACAGCGCACAAAAAGCATGATTTCAGTTGCGCACCAACGCCTCCGTCAAGCAGTGCATGTAAAACATGTAAAGTTGAGCCGCTGCTCAACTTTACATGTTTACAGTCGCTGGTGGTGCCACCACACGTGTGACATACCCGGCGTCAAGCAGGGGACCCCAGCAAGCCCACTACCCTATTCTAGCTCACTTTAACCGAACCGGGCCAATCGTGTCGCGCGCGCCCCCACGCGGCGCTCAATGGAAAAGCGTCACGCGCCGCGGCGGAGATTGACAACTGGAAAAGTATCTAGTAACGTTGGCTGAGGTGCCCACGGTCACTCTAGCGACGCGACGAAGCCTCTCTCTCACCGAGTCGGGAGCGCGCACGAGAACTCGTCGCCGGAACATCCCAGGAGGAGCGGCGAAGCGCACTTGCAGGGGCGCTTGACGCGCGGGAGTGTTCGAAATATCGCGTGTGGCGGTGACCGGGAGTTCGATACACGCGTACAACAGCACTATACTTTTGCATGGAATTTCCAAGGGGATGTTTAGACTGTTCGATATATACAGTAATTCGATATATCTGGGTTCGGTATATCCGGGATCGACTGTATATACATAGCCGTTATTAAGCCGGTGCGCACATAACGTGTGGATGAAATTTTTGATAAAGACTGCTGTAAAGCGAGAAGTTGCCAGTTGGAATCAACGGCAGCCTGTTTCAGATTTTTATGGACGAATCTCATTAGGGTCAAGGATTGTCCGTTGTCACTTCGTAGCCAGCCGCTAGTACGCGAACGCCGACCACATGGCTCGGCCACGCTCGCTCCACTCCCACGCGCCACTCCTACATGCCACCGAACGCGCTTTCGCTCTCTCTGGAAATTCGTCCTTTTGTGCTTGTTGATACTATTATTAAAACCATGAAGATAAGGGAGTGAAGTGGAGGTCCTGCAAGGTGGTTGCAGAGCATACTCGCTTTCAAGACTCGGACTTGAGAGCTTGAGAAAATGAAGCGGCAGGGGCTCGCCGTCAACAATGACAAGCCACCGATCTAGAAGCGGGAAAGGATTGTGCGACAGCAGCGAAATGCACACGATGACAAGCGATCCCGCAGCTGAGAGTGCATGAAGAGGCATCAGCAGGGAAGCACCAACAAGCTGATCCTGAAGTAGTGTGGGCGACCAATGAGGCAGGTACGCCCTTTAAACGATCGCTACCTGAAATTGATGATACCGATGTACTCTTTAAGCGCAACTTTCCAGATCGCAGTTTCGCTCCCTGCTGCAATGTTTGCGAGCGCTTGTGGCTGTATAGCAATTTTACCACCATCTGCAGCATCAGAAACGAGGAATCCAGCGCCAACGCGATCGCCGTTCTATAGCGGGAGTTTCTCGCCCCCGGTTACAATCAGTGTGCAATACTCTGGCAAATACGTTTTCGTGGCGGGCAAAACCACCATGGTGAGTATGACGTCGCTCATTCATCTGCATTCACTTTGTAGATATGACGGGATTTTTTCTCTCATTAGTTTGTGTAGGTCTCTGTGTTATATTACATACATATTCTTATCCGGGACCTGAGGAGATGACAACAGAACAAATCCACGAAAAGCGTACATATGATTGCCGGAGCTATACAATTACGCTGTCAAAGCACATGGCCTTGACAGCGTTGAGCTCAGCAAGTATTTATGAAATTTTGCAGGAACTGAGCGCCACCGACGCCATGCTGAATGTAGCTGCCTCACACCACCTGAAGCCCAGCCCGCCGAAGCAAAGGAATGTGCTCCAGGATTCCCTCTAGATGCTCTCAGACCAGCTGGGTGGCTCCAAGTTGAAGCTCTCTGCGTTTTGACTACCGAGCCCTCCATCGCAAGCCGACTACAAAATACCGAAGTTGCACAGCTTCGAGAAAAACAATAATGGCTGGGTGGCGACCATGAACGCTCTGGGAGCTCGCGAGGCCTAAACGGAAAGGCATAAATGGTCCATGGCGATAAACAGCCTTCAATATGGTACTGTGGCGTGGCATCGGTATGAGGTGTGCAGTAGCAGCGCTCGGCAGGCTGGAGCAATAAGCTCATAGCTGCCCTTGAACCGACTGACCACTACCTCACTGGTACCACCCAGTTTACCCTGACCGCATCCGACGATGAAGTTCCAGAGAACCTCCACCACGAGGCTCTGCCACTGTGCATTGCAGGTCACCTCTGGAGAGTGTCACAACTTGCACAGTGACTGCGACACAACTGCAACCATGCTCACGATTGGAGTAGTTGGACTTGTTGGTAACTACAACTCCAACGTTTTTGCCAGACGAAGAAACCATATTTTATTCGCAGCCTTTGCAGAAGCAATACCGGAGCTCGGTGAGCTCGTCGTTGCGACCAGTTTTCAACAGCGACAATCAAAGGAGCGGTCGAAGTTCTCCGCGCAGCCACATCGGCAGTCTCACCAGTCTGCGAATTATGGCTAAGAAGTCCCGGTCGTAGAAAAGCATAGTGCTCCAGCTTTCAAAACAGTTACTGGCTGAATGCGCGGGCACTCACCTAATGCTGAGCGAGATGCCACTTAAAAAATCAAAGTGATTGATTATGTCACATTTGTCAAGGGTCTGCCCATTTCACCAAGCGGGTATCCAATCACTGCGGAGCCTACATCAAAGTCTGAAGAAGCGTATTTATGCCAACGCTGCCCCTAGCGCGTGAGCCCGTTTCCGACAAAAACCTACTAAATCAGGAGGGTATGTGAACAATGACGGAATTGTTTTTCGCTCGCCAGTCATCAATTGTCAACCGGGTATCTACAACCTCAGAGGAAGAAGCAGCGACATCGAGATGCCATAAAACAACGGTGACAATGTTTACGCAGGCTACAGACATGTGCGGCCTCGCTCACATCAATCATCCTGTCATTACGTGCGAATTACAAACGTAAGGTGACACCTACTTCAGCTTCCTGAAATATATGAATGTGCCAGGGAGACTAGAAACATTTCACAATTTGGAAAACAAATCAGAAATGCAAATATTTTACCACATTAGTAGAGTGCATGTGGTAAAAGTATGTAGTGCATCGACAATGTTTATTCTAACCAGTGTTTTTCACAATACACTTGAATTTTATGTATTTCAATATATGTTAGTAGTGCTTATGAAATTTTATCTTAAATTTATTGCTAAGAATCAGCTTTAGATTAGATTTGTGGGATTTAACATCCCAAAACTACCATATGATTATGAGAGACGCCGTAGTAGAGGGCTCCAGAAATTTTGACCACCTGGGGTTCTTTAACGTGCACCCGAATCTGAGTACACGGGCCTGCAACATTTCCACCTCCATTGGAAATGCAGCCGCTGCAGCCGGGATTCGAACCCATGACCTGCGGGTCAGCAGCCGAGTACCTTAGCCACTAGACCACCGCGGTGGGGCCAAGAAACAGCTTTGTTTGAGTATTTGAGTGACATTCCCTGCAGTGTTACAGTGTTCCAAGAAACAGCTTTGTTTGAGTATTTGAGTGACATTCCCTGCAGTGTTACAGTGTTCCTTGTTTATTTATTATTTGTATGTAATGAACATTTCTACGTCTTGTTTCCATGTATATGTCCAAAGTGCTTTATGAGCAATCGGCCAAGTCAAAAGACACTCTCTCCTTTTGTCCCCGTCATAGCCTTCTTGTGAAGATGCCCAAATAAATAAAGAATTAAAAAAAGCCTGAATCATTTTCAAAGCAATCAAAACGGTGCGTGTTATCAAATTCTCAGGAGCCTCTGTTACTGCGCCTCTTGGTACATACTTGAAGACATGCAGAAACCAGCTTAAGGACACGTTCACAAGAGGTAAAGACGACACACACACGCTGGATCGCCAGAGTGTGCGTGTCGGCAAGCTCTTTATACCTACCACTTAACGTGGTTGGAGAGCATCTCTGGGGTGAACAAGCGTGTTTTAGGCATTATCAGAAATATGGCCAAAGAGCGCATGGCGGTTCTCATCCAGCGTGTGTGTGTGTCGCCTTCTTGTTTTGTGAACGTCTCTTTAAGCTGGTTTCTTGGTTTTTTTATCAATATATATCAATCAAAACTATCGGGACGTTTAAATTCTCATGCCTTCCATTGGCAGGTTCAGTTGATTATCGGCTGTGAAAGTGTGTATGCAGTATTCACAAGAATGATCGGTGGCAATATATAGATGTAGGCAAACTGATAGACACTCACGTGCGAACAGAATTCCACAAAAAATAAAAGAAGTAAAATGACCATTTTATTAGCGTATAATTTTCAATACTAAGTTATGAATTTCAGTTTGTCAACAAACTGGAGCCAGTATGGACAGTCAGAACAACTCGAAGAGCACTTATTAAGTGCGAGATGGATCAAGTTTTGTTGATTAGACCACTGTCGTCTACATTCAGAAGACGTGTTTTCCTGAACGGCACAAGGTAAGCTTTGTGTTCTCCCCACCTATCTTCTCTCTAACTCGTATGTTTTTTGTTTGCAGACGTGACTTTCAAATATATGGAGTATTTGACACAGAGCACCTGGAGAGAATGACTGTAATAGAAAGAGGTAGGAATCAATTATGAGCTGCTCTATAGTATTCGGGTTACAAATTTTACCAGCACGATGTCACTAGCAATATATTTGTGTTCAGTAAGGAATGTAAAACTAACTACAATAATGTGAAGTTCAGTATATATAGGCATATATTTATTGTGAATTAGACGTCTAGAAAAGTTTCAATAGCTTTTCAATCACAGAAACCACTGAATTGCCCTTACTGCTTTCGCGACCATGTTAGACCCATTTCAAAATTTGGCGCCGCTCATTGAACGAAACCGAAAACCCAAGTTTTGCGCCATGTCTTGTTCACTTAAGGGACGCTCATTCACATACCGTCCAAACGCGGTACGCGTCCGGCAGGAACGCAAGCACTGTGCGTATGGATGGCAGGGAGCGCTAATCGGCGTCGCTAGGACACACAGCCTGCTAGCTTGCATGAGGGAACAACATATGGCGGAAGATCTATGTTGCCAGACTGAATTTTCCAGAGTTTCTATTTAAAGGTATTTATGTCTCTAGGGCATGGCTTAAAAAAAGTGGCTGATTCTTTTTTAGGGGCGAAGCTCTTTATAGCGGCACCCATTCGTCCCTCGTAGACGTTGTGTTGTGTCACAAGTATAACAGTTTGACCTACAAGGTGGTGCCGGTGAGAGATTTCTTCTGCGCGTTGTTGAACAATAAAAAATAGTGCTCAATGTACATGCCAATTGCTGCTAATGGGGAATGAGAGACAGGAGCATTCCGCTTTTAGGTAACGCGCACGCTGCGATCCCCATTAGCAGCCATTAGCAGCCTAAGCATGTACATTGTGCACTGTCTGACAGGAAAAGGTTGCTAAGTTATACTCGCTGGGCGTAACCTCCTTGGTTTTAGAAAGGTTTAGCGAGCGTTGGGCCGCAGTGCCATGAATACAGTGAACTAGTATCTACCATGAAGTCGAGGTGGTTAAAAGTGGAAAGTAAGCCCAAAGCGCAAACCGTAAGAAAGTGTGCGTGTGCCACTCTCGTTTAGTCCTTGGAATTTCTGCTGTATGGCAGTGCTTCTATATGGGGAATATATGATGAAAAGATGCGAGATGGTGGTACTTGGAGTGTTGAATAGATGGACGAACGGACACACAGACAGATGCATGGATGGACGCATGAACAGACGCAGGGGCGGATGCATGGACGAACGCAGAGACGGACGCATGAACGGACGGAAGCAAGAACGAATGGACGGACGAATGCTTCACCCCACTCACCATCATTCACTCCGTTGATATGCCGCCAATTTTTTTTATTTCGTCACTCTCGACGGAATGTCGCCAGCGACGTCGGCATAGGCGTCGACGTGGACGCCAATGTCATGCACCGTATATGTGTACGTACCTAAAAATATGAAAACGCTTGAGAGAAAAAAAATCCAGCAAAAAGACTCCGGCGCGCTGAATCGAACGTGGCACCTCCGCGTCGCGAATGCGAGGCGTGAACCACTGAGCCACCGAAAGGTACCTTCTTCGACGTTCAAACGGCAAGCTCTTCATACCTACCACTTACCGCTGTTGGCTTACTTACCGCTGTTGGCGAGCATCTTAAGGGTGAACTACCGTGTTTTCAGCATTATCAGCAAGATGGCGCAAAGAGCGCACGACGGCTCTCATCTTTCACGCGTACTTCAACCCGCGGAGAGAAGGGAAGTGGACAATTTCTCGAGCACCCTTATCTCCCGGTGGAGAGGGTCATACGACTTGGTTGGTGGTGGGCTTGAGTGGAACGATTTTGTTGTAGTTGCAGGCGCACAATGGTCACTGCAATCATTGCACGGCCTTTGTTTGCGATAAGGGCGCGCTTTTCAGACACAGCGATCACTGAGACACCTATTCACGTACATATGTAGCTGTGAGTGCGTTTTGTGCGTCATTTGCGCCTGAGAAACGTCGGGCAAGTTGCTTGTAATTCTGCGCGTGACTTTCCGATTTCTCGCTATCGCGTTTATTGCTTCGCCTTTGTGGCAAAGCTGTTACCTTTTAGGGAATCGCTATAACAGAAAAGTGAAACGTGTGTTCACAGAGATTGATCGATATGTGTGATCTAACACCCACAACCATCGCATGATTATGAAAGATGCCGTAGTGGAGAGCTCCAGAAATTCGCACCATCTCTGGTTCTTTAACGTGCGCCCAACCTTCAGCACATGAGCCTCGAGAACTTTTCCGCCATCGAAAATGCAGCCGCCGCTGCAGGAATTCGATTCGCGATCAGGTCACGGGATCGACAGATCTTAGCCACTACACCACCGCGGTGGGGCTGTATTCATGGAGGTTGTTGAGTGTTTATTGTGTCTTGTTTTGCCACAAACGCGAAGGAATAAGTTATGCAGCAACTAGTTGTGAGGCCACGCGAAAAATGACAAGTCTCTGGAAACTTGCAGCGTGCCTCTCCAGCACAAGAAACGCACGAAATGATCATACACATGACAAGCGTGGACTAATATCAGTCCGTGAGGATATTCGTGATCACGGCTAAATAAATACTCGATGCTAAGACTGGTGAAGATACTGCACGAGGGTTAAAGCATGTTTATAATGCAAGTAATGACGTTGAGGTTAACGATGAAGGAGTGATACAAAACATGTTGCAATAGTAAACACCATTCTGAAGTCGTGTAAACCTGTTCCCCCACAACAATAAACAAAGCTGGCAAAATCTCACCATTTGCGGGTCGAAAGCTGCTAAGTCGATGAATCGCTGCGTTGAGTCTCACGTCGACGGCAAGGATAGGCAAGATGTGGTTGGAACCCAGTAGAATCAACGTGGAAGGGTGTTTCTGGGCTAATGGTAGGACGAGGTTTTGCATGAGCACGAGTCCCAGCTCAAGGAACTAGTGCCAGCTGCTCGAACAACAGTTGGGGTGAACAACTCATGAGCGGACCGCAAGCGGCGGCCTGCATTGGGACCAGGACCCGACGAGCGCTTTGGCCCGCGACTCCTTCCAAGTCACGTTCTCCAACCCACTTCTTTTTCCGCTTCTCTCGCCGATGCGGATTTTGTCTTTCAGCCTGTCTTGTCACCGGCTTCATCGATGCACTCCACAGCACAAAACTACAGCCACCGCACACCACACGAAAGTACAACGCACAACATGAAAAAAGCGCCTGTTGTTGAAAGTTTTTTTAGACAAAAACTGTTCAAAGTGCGCGAAAGACAAGAGTTACGACAAAACCATTTCTACAAACGATTGCCGTAATTTACACTGCATCTGCTTACTCAAGTCCGCAAGCTCCAAGAGGTCCACACTGTCAGCAATATTGTTAGTGTGATTCCAGCTGCAACCTGTACCCATATGCAACATTACCGTTTCCTGAACTTATATCTTCCATGTGGCAGACGCAAACATGGTCCTCGTTGAGCTAGTGGTTCACTTCTTACACCCTGACAGACATTAAATGGAAGGAAGGGAGTGTCAAGATGTCCTTGCGGCATGACGAGGTCCGAAGTAGCCTGACTTGTGACCCGATCAGCAAGCCGAAGTTGTCGCCTTCAAAAAATCCTAGCACAACACTTCTGCACATTTTGCGGACGAGCAAAAGTTACGTGTGCCAACTTGAAAGTTTTTTTTAAGACGTGCTTTTACGTCAAGCAAACGATCATAGGCAGTCTCTACGCCCTCTAGGTTTTCCTTTTATTTTTGGCTGAAAGACTCCATAGTGATGGTACACAGAGAAAGACTGTTTACCGCGCACGACATGACACTGGCACAGCTCGACACTTAAAGTGCGCTGTTCAAACAGAAAGAAAGGCACATGAAATAAACGCACAAGTATACACACGACGAGTGCGACCAGCCATCAAAGTAATACTTTCTAGTGTGTGAGCAGAATTCTTTTTTCGAAAGAAGGGCCGCGGCAGCAGGCTAAGTGACGTTTGACCTCTACTTAATCACGATTCTGATAAACGCGCCTGCAGGAGAGACAATAGAGAGTTTTAGTACTGCGTACGCTGCGTACGTGGCGGCGTTGCGTACGTAAGGACGCCACGTTATGCGTAGTGCGCATGCGCAGACAGCAACGCGCAAGTATCGCATTACGTACGCAGCTGCTACGTACGCACGCATGAGATGCGTGCGTGCGTACGTATGAGGTGATCGCGCCGCTCTCGAACAACTTCGCCACAGCGCGAGACTTCGTTTTGCAAAATGGCGGCATCGAAGGCAAGCACAGACCGGCTCTATGGCTTAAAATATGGCCGCAATCTGGCTATAACACTTGGATTGGCTCACATTGGCAGTCAAGAACACGTGCTTCGATTTTGATCTACCAGATGGCGCAACACGCTTCACGCTCGTTACGTACGCGGGTACTACGGCGTACTAAAAGCCGAATAGTGGCAAACGACGCCACGTAACGCAAGGCACTTGCCTGATGCGTACGTAGCACCATTCCGCAGTACTAAAACTCTATAATGCTTCGTGTCGGTGGCGCCTGCGGAAATGCGACCTTCAGAGCACAGCCATTGCAGTGAACGCTAGGTTGTTGTGCCATCTCGCTACTTAGTTCGAGAACGCACTGAAGCTGCGAGGGTCATTGTACCCCTAAACATTGTATTGTGTGTTAAAATAGCGTGCACCACGGCTACGATGCTGATGTAACCGTGGTGGGTTCTAGCATAGAACACTCTACTGTGTAGCAGTACCTTAGCTCAATCGGCTGCGCAATCATACACATGGAGTGAGCTAACGACGGAAAGACTAACGAATGAGCTGCCCCGCCACGGTGATCTAGTGGCTAAGGTACTCGGCTGCTGACCAGCATGTCGCGGGTTCAAATCCCGACTGTGGCGGCTGCATTTCCGATGGAAGCGGAAATGTTATAGGCCCGTGTGCTCAGATTTGGGTGCACGTTAAAGTACTCCAGCTGCACAAAATTTCCGGAGCCCTCCACTACGGCGTCTCTCATATTCATATGGTGGTTTTGGGACGTCAAACCCCACAGCCAACCTAGCTACAGCTACAAAATCTCTGCGTAT